ACCACGACCAAAATATAGCTTTAACTTTAGTTTGAGTTTCTTCACAAGGTTTTCTTCATGATTCTTTATTTGTCAAGCCAAACACCCAGTTTATACCATTTACGCCATTTATTTTCTCCCCAACTTATTTCTGTTTTTTTTCCCCCCTGCATTAGAAAATAACATGAACTTGGTTTTGTCTGCGTTCAGCACATTCCCAATGGGCTGAAACTGTACAATATTAAAGGCAGACTGTAATTTATGTAATAAGAGTGGGTGCACAGCTCCGCTACACAACACAAGTGAGGAAAGCCCTGTGCAATACCGCTTAAATGTCAAATGATTCAAGACTGTAAGACTTTGCAATAATTGCATTACTTCTAAGTTTGAAAGTTCCGTACTTGCCCCAGTGTAGAATTATAAGCAGTTTGTGGTTTACCTTATTAAAGATGCATGTTGCACAGTAGGAACTCGGTGCTTCGTACATAAGTATGTCTTCCTAATTTATGAGATTCTAATCTTTAATTTTGTCAATACTTCTTACACTTCTTGCGGTCTCATATCATCGCACCCCCATCTCTGTGCTTCACTGTTGGGACTATGCATTCACTGTGGCAGCCCTGGCAAGGTTCACGCCAAGCATGCTGTGTGAGGGTTATGGACTTGTTTTAGATGTGTTTTTTGGATTCCTGTTTTGTGTGTTTGGCTGGCTGGCCGATCGGAGGAGGACGCTCTCGCACTGGCACAGCATCAGCAGACAGCCTAAAAGCCTCTGCTTCACGAGACTCTGGTGCCAGATACACCACTAGTGGCCGTTTAGCAGTAGCTCCAATCTTTGAGTTCTCTGTTAAGTTAATTTCAGGTTTCGAGTAATCCTGTATTCTCCCTGTGTTTTCTCCAGCATCCTCTCCACTGGCTCCACCGCCACAAAGTCACGAATCGGGGTTTTACACATCACGGGCACCTGCACCAGAAAAACCTCCACACGAGCACCTCCACCTGAGCACCGCCACTGGGAAGCCTGCACACGGACTCCTCCTGAGCACAGCCACGGAAAAACCCTCCTCATGGACTCCTGCACGGGGAACTCACCACACGACCCACCGGCACCGAAGACCTCCCTCGGCATCACCACAACTACCTGCGCACCAACACCGGATTCTCCATCTGCCTCCTGGTGCCCATCACTTCCCTACCCTCTTTTAAAAAACCTGTTTTTTCCTTTTCCTTTCCCCGTCTCCTCTTCGTTTGGGTCCACAAATACACTCGGTGGCCACGGGCCGTCACATGCTGGACTCTATCTGACTCTGTCAAATTTATCTTGATCCCATCTAACCAATGAACGTGCCATCAATATTGATCAGTATTCTGTTCATATTGCTTCGCAAAGTTTCACGTTCAACTTTAGGCAAGGGTGTTTTTCTTGGACGGCGTTCACAGGGGCTGGCGTTATGCACCGTCCTTCACATTATCTGAGCTGTCACACATACGCTGATTTACAACAATAACCCCAGTGCCAAGACTGGAGCACTTGCCCATCTGTTTTTCAGAGCTAGATCATGGAAATAGGACACTGTCTGTGGCATCATTTTAGGAGAAGTGGCTCACTCTATCCCTCCAGATTACTGCTGCAACTATATTTTGACTGTATCCGTCTGTATAGTTGTGAAGTCTCTCAGATGTATTTTTTCCCCTCTAGCAACTCTTGTCCATGTGGAGCCATGATGCAGATATGCAGATGGATGCAGCACATAGTTCCAAAGTTGAGAAAAGTGTGGTGGTTCCATGTTCATGCGTTTGACTAACTGAAAACTACAAATGTGTTCACTTTTGTGGCACTTTTTTTCTTTTGGGCCTGTATTTTCAATATAGTCCCTCAGAGTAGTTGTTTTTTTTTTAGGTCATGGGAGTTGAAATGATGCAGTTATTGAGACGTGACACAGTTTTGAGTCATTTGACATTTACAGTAGGTGATACTGCACTGTTGTTGTTTACTGTGTAAAAGATGGTATCATCAGCATAAGTATATGATCCCTGTGCAATGACACCTGAACTATAATATAATGAAACGATAAAATCTAGTAATAAAAGCAAGTTTGAAGTAAGCCTATGACACACAGAATATGAATTCTGCTTCTTTAGGAAACCGTTCAGCGAGTAACGTATGCATCAGCAGGCCATGATTCACAGTGTCAAAGGTAAATCAATAAACAGGGCTGCATGACTCTGCTCGTTGTTGAGCGTGATATTATTTCCAACCTTCAGTAAAGCAGTAGCGGCGCCATATGCTGCGTCCTAAATCTGCTCCATGTGATGCTGCGTGCATCCCTGGCCGCTACCACGTTCTCCACACAGGTCAAGTTATCTTCAGCCTCAGCACTTCATTTCCCTTCATTAGACCGACTCTCTGTAAAGCTGTCCACAAGGATTTGACATCAATTCTAATTTGTTGCACTTTGAAGTCTGATTAATTCACAATTACTGGGAGAAAAAGGGAAAGAGAGATGAGGATACAGAGGGCAGTGAGAACGAGTGGGTGTATGGAGAAGATACAGAAAAGCGGTGAATAGTGGCGGCGAAGTCATCGGAATGCAGAGCAGGCTTCAAACAATATTGGTTTCTGAAGGCTGATAATAATCTTTTCCACTAAGGAAGCCAGCAACTGATATTGTGTGAAATTATCTTTGGCGTGGCCATTTTTATGCAAAATAAATGACAGTTAGGTAGAAATACAAGCGAACATAAATTATATTCACAAAAAACTTGTGTGGAATCCAATTTATCTGTCAGATTGAGAGTTTTTTTTTTCCCCGCTGACAACCAGCACGGTTCAATATTTTCAAGCAGGCTGCGTCACATCAGAGGTGGAGCGCGATGACAGGCTGAGCTTCTAATAAAAGACTGATATCTGCATTTTGAATGCAACCGCTGCACAGAGGATGATGACTGAAATTAAAGATGGACCAAGTCATTGTGGGGAAGATTTATTGAGTCACGTCCATCATTACAAAGAACACAGTACAAAGGCGGCTTTTACGAGGCTGTTAAGAACAGAAAAAAAAAACGAAAAGTTCAGACACAGGGCTTAGGATTGAATGATGAGCACAGATATGCAAAGAAGCTCATCTTCTTAGCTATGAGACTGGAAGCTCACACTGTATGCCATCTAATAGAGGTTGACCTTTGCAGTGTACAGCTAATCTTTTACAACAGAATCAGACAGGACTGGGCTCAGGCATACTATATTGTATAGATTTGGAACAGCCTAGGGCGGAAATTAATGTTAAAATATGCACCGTTTGGTATTTTATTGTTTGCAAATTTTTTACACAAAGTATTTTCCCTTGTTTGACTGCTTTAAAAAAGCGACTTAATACCCAATTAAAACAAATTTAAACCCTCAAAATCCTGACACTTGAAAATTAAACAAAGTCGTGAGCATGACTGAGACGTAATTAGGGTTAGAATTTCTTCTCTGCTCTGTGAATTAAACATTTACCAGAGGAAGCCAATTTATGTTGATATATTTGTGCTCCTGAAATGCAAATTTAGGAAACGCACCAGATGTTGTGCAAGCCAGCGAGGTTAACCTTTAAAACTGGGCAGACACTGTGCTAAATTTAGTAAATGTGTACGATGAGTTTGGGTTTTAATCTGGATTTCTGCAGCCAAAATCTGTGACTTCTCTCCTCACGCTGTATGGGTCAGTCCAACTGGCCTTTGTGTGGCGCTCTAACAGAGCATAAACACCAAGAGCCCGGTCACTTCTTTCCATGGAATATTTCAATAAAGTTATTTCCGAAAATCCCCGGTGTTGACAAAAAGAGAGAAAGGCAGCATCGCATTCACACAACATGGGTCTGACTCAGATCTGCCTCTCGTCACTGCTTAGCTCCGCTGTCGTCCAAATATGATAAAAATGAAATATAGTCACTTCAAGCTCCAACAAAAGCAAAGATGGCAAATGTGAAACGCGAGATCTGAAAAATGGCAGAACAACAAAGCAATGGGTGGCATCACCGTGGACACATTTTATAGCTACACATTGTGAAATTTTAAAAGTTAAAATTGTGCTGCTGGTTTTTTAACAGCTCTTTTGTTATTGACAGTTTACAACATCTGAATGCTTTAACTATTTGAAAACAGGGGAAAAAATGAGTTTTTTCTCTGCTGAACTGTAAATATGTCGACCAAGACTCACACCAAACTGTGAACCTGGTGCACCGTTACACCCCGACTGCTACTCTCATGTTCCCAGCACGCTTTCATTCTGTCTGCGTTGCTGACGGTCGTATTTATATGTCGAGGTGAAGAGCGGAGGCTGACCTTGACATTCCCACATGGTAGTTTAGAGGCGAAGCGTGTCAGGTCACATCATAGATTTCTCACAAACTTTTTTTTAGAGGTCAACAGGACAGAGTTACTGGATTTGAGAAAAGAAAAATACTTTATTTTGCGCTCTGCAGTTTCGCTATATTGTAGTCTAGCAATCAAACTGACTGCTCCATCTTCAACACTTACCATCAAATAACAGGCAACACAAGAGCCACGAGAATCAACGTATTTTTACTGTTATTGTCTCTGACTCTTTAACACCAATGGAACAGGACCATTATTGGTTTTGATGTGAGGCGAGTGAAGGATCAAAGGATGCATACAGAATCAGATACATCTACATCAGTCCAATGATTTGTGAAGGCAGTGTGGTATAGGTGAGAGGATGATTCGGGATGGCAGCCTGCAGGTGTGGCTTTGTCAGTGCAGTCACAACTACAATCTCACGTAGTCATCCCTTGAATGTGTCACTTAATGACTAGAATACAACTGACTCTACAAAAGTAGGCCAGAAGGGTTTATTTTAGGCACTTGCGTCCACAATACTATGACCAGGCTCGCTGAATAGACTTGTATTGTTACCTGTAATGGCCCATTACAAACTTTGGAGGTCAAAATGGACAATAATTCACAATGACACCATCCAGATGTGAACATCCAGAGTGGGTCTTGGTATGAATGTGTCATAAGTCACATTGATTTAGTGTGTTTTGCTTAACTTTAAGAAACTTAAGGTGATACTGGGAAATAAAAGTACAACATGTTTTCTAGGTGGTGTTTAGTCGTGAGCATACGATGCACGTCTCCTGATCTTTCATGTCTCCTTGTGGCCCAGCACAGCGTCATAGATCTTCCCAGTGAGGCAGTGCTGGATGTTGGTGAAGCCGGCTGCAGCCAGCAGGGCAGCGTACTGAACATCTGTCCTCTCTCTGCCCTCCGTCTGCACCAGCATGTTCAGAGAGTAGAGCTGTGCTGTCAGCGGGCCAGAACCGTCCTCGTTGAGCAGCGCCTCCACCAACAGCACAGCGCCCCCTACAGGAGGAAGCAAACGATCGGCTTTATGTGCTTGTTCCTTCCTCGGTTTTTGTTCTGCTGCTTTGGCTCCTTCTCCGACTGATTCAACAAGTGTCCAGATGGGGGAAAGTTTGACGTAGCCAGACTTTCTTTATGCAAGGCAGCTCAACAAACCGCAGTCAGGGATAACAGGTCCGCAGTGGTTATTATCAACTTTCTTTGTTAACCAAGTAGTCTTTCCTTAGACTTTGTGCGCGCTCACATAAATGCATCATGTTACTCTTTTTCTGCACTAAATGGACAGATCATGTTCCGCCTACTTTAGTTAAAAGGTTGTTCTAATGGAGACATATTAAGAATATAACACTGCATTATCGTGTATATGAAGAGTTCATTTGCAAAAACAGACAACTCCATCTTCACAAACCTTCAGAAAACCCACTTTTCCATCATCTACCTGAGACAATATCAATCAAACTTAAGTTATCTCTATTTTTGTCATTCCTACTGAGTCAAATCCACTCAGCTTCAGTTTGATTGATATAATCTCAAGCAAACAATAAAAAAAATAAGGTTTATGTTTACAAAAATGGAGTTATCTGTCTGTCTCTAACGTACAGCTCAACAGGTGTGCAGATATTGACAATCTGTATCGTTCGCTGAGATTTGCCAGGAAACAAAACGGTAAAAGGGAGATGCTCTTTACAGTCGATTTAAATCCGAAACTCTGAACAGCTGTGCAGCATAGTTACCTTGGTGATGTAGAGAGACGCCTTCATGGCGGTAAAAACTCCGACTTTAGGCTCAGTAAACCCATAAATCTTGCTTCCTAGTACAGTCTTCTGATAAAGCTTCACCAGCAGTAAACTAGCTATAGCAGGTCAGTCTCTCATTATACGATGATTCTAGAAAACATCGACCGAAAAGCATTGATTCACTGCTAATCAAAAGAAGATGCTCTGTTCGTCTGTTCATTTAGTTATTGTGAACAAAGTCATGCAATCATATTAACATTCTTTACTGATAAAGCTTATTGTCGCTTCACACGTTTTAGCTGCCAAACACGCTGTTGATTGCTGTATTGCGGTAATTGGTGGATCTGTGCTCTTCTTTCATATTATTAGCTCCTCCTGCTGTGACATGTTAAATGTCTGCAGTGAAAAAAGGTCCACTGTGAGAAACGACTTGGTGCTACAACAGGCTGCATTCACCGTCCGGCAGAAGGAGGCTTCCCTACTTTATCTCTTTGTTTTCTCATCCCTCTTCTTACGCACTGTCTGTTCCCTGATAGTGTCTGCTGCTTTTGTGTGTGTTCGTCTGACTTTGATCAAAGTCAGAGGGACAGATTTTTCTGGGATCAGCTGCATTGTGGGATACAATCTGCCATCTCATTTCAAGCAGAAGAAAAAAGTACTCATCTCTTTCACACTCAGCGACACACACACACACACACACACACACACACAAACACACACACACACACACACAGACCTGGTTTGCAGGCTTTATAGATTCTGCGGAGCAGCTCTATGCAGCGTTCGTCTGTCCAGTCGTGGAGGATTCTGGCAAGAATATAGAGGTCAGCCTCTGGCAGATGGTCTTTGAAGAAGTCCCCTAAAAAACACACACATCCATATGCACATATCAAGGGATGCTGCTATATTTCAGTCCCATATATGATGGAACAGATGATGGGAATACAGAAAATTCAGGTCATAAATGTTTGGCTTCTAAACTCTCAGTAGGGAGCGGGAAGCAGGGATTCTAACTCTGGTGAACTTTGGGTGCCATCAGGATTTAAATAGTTTGCTAAAAATGTGTTGCAGAGAACGGAGAATGTGACGCGAGTGGAGCAGAGGACTGGAGCCGGGCGGCCTGACGGAGTTTGCAGGCTTTTCTTGATTTGATTTAATTATTTCGTGTAATTATTAATTCTGTTGACAAGCCCTAAAGTAATATGACACGACTCGATTAGCAGTGTATATTCTCATATATAATTACGATCAATTTGTGTCAAATGCGTGTCACCCAACATCTGCTGCTACTGAGTGGGGATCTAGTTATGCTTGTTTTGAGGATTTTTTTTGGTTTCATGTGTTTTGTTCAACTTCTCTAAACTATGACCGCCACAGTGCGTGTTTTTGTCCCTAGTTTCCTGTCGCCGCCTGTCCATTGTAACTATATCCACAATCTTTTCGCTTAATATGAAATAAAGCACACGGAGGCTCTTAAAAATGCCACGTTACAGCTCCCGTTGTGCTCCACGCCACCATGGCTATGGGAACAGCAGGAGAGTGCAGGAATTGATTTCGGCTCTGGGTTTTTGCAAGATTGCCAGCCGCTGTGAACTTTTTTCCCACATTAGCTGCCGCGTTGTCGAGTCGACACAACAAAGGAAGCGTGAGGTATAAATTGGCAGTTTTGTACACAATGTTACACTCAGTGGGAGAATGAGAGACTGACAGCATCAACAGTGTCCCGTTCGGCTGCTTTTATTTCCACATCAGGCGGTTGCTATTTTCCAACATCACACAGAGTAATGGAGGGACAGACATGACTCGTGGGTACGTGCCCTCCACTGTAATGGTGTGAGGGAATATTTGATTTCAAGTGTGTTTTCAAAAGTAAATTTCCTCAGATTTTTTCTTAGACTGAAGCGCTGGTCGTTGTAAAATCAAGCAGAAGTTTAAAGATCATAGCACCTCGTATCTGCATGATTCCTAATGCGAGGACACCAAACATTTTTGATTTTAGGACCCCCTCTGGGCATTGATTCAATCCCTAAAACCTTTCTTTGTGTATTAAATGTACATATTAAGACGATTTTTCCTTGAAAACAATGTGTTTCTGTCTTTAAATGGCTTAGATACAACCCTATAGTGTTGCTTTCTTTATAATGTGCAGATCTATGAAATCTTTGCTGGCTCACTCCTCCTTGTTTGCTGCAGCTGGAGCACACCAGCTCACCTATAACTCTGCTCAATCACTGTCCACACGCTGTACAGTGATACGCTGTAAAATCTGAGTACATGTTAAAGACAGAACTTGATTCTGAAGAAGAATAGTGATACAGAAAGTCCCACCAGTTGACCGGCTTAGTTCATCAGATATGCTAAACCCTGGAAGTCTAAGTCCATGTTTGTGCCACTGCCACTGGCACACTGCAGTTTTAAGGTGGAAATAGAGTTTATTTCTCTTATGATGTGTCCTCCAGCATATAAAAAACACCATAAGAACAAGATATCAAGAAAAAAAATAAATAAAAAATGTCACCAGACGGGATCTTTAAATATTTTTTTTCCGCTGCGGCTGAGGCTAGCTGTGACATCTATATTTTAAAAGAGTCCAATAAGCACATAACACATTGATATGGGACCCTGAGATTTCATTAGGAATTTGACAAAGATGTATATTGAGTTTGGTGTCCTGTAGTTGAGAAATCAACTTGTTAGTCCAGTGAAATGGTTTTTAAATTATAAATGTAACCTAGTTTGGCATTTATGTGGTGATTGCTGGTTAATCAGCAGCCAACAAAGATAAACGCTAGTAAAAAAAAAAAAATAGATAAATAAATAACATATATCAGCCGTGCACTTTTATACTGCTCGACAGTATTATTAATGTTTCAGTTTTCATTCCAGGTTTTAAGCGTAATATCTGAATATCTTCTCTGATAAAGGACAAATGTGTGAATGTATGCATCAATCTGAACTATGAAGAGATCACACAGACCGTATCTGGATCTGATAGCGTCAACATTTAAAGTTTTTCATACAGTTTGTCCACACGAGGATAAAGACGGAGATATCCTTTATTCTTTCATGTTACCAAATCTTAGGAAAAGATCAAAACCACTAAACTTTCAATGCTCTGAATGGCTCTGTCTGTGGCTGTTAGCCCCACGTTATCAGGAGTTTATTGAGAAAAACAGGTCACACATATGTAGCATCACATTTTTGTTAAATATCTAATTTTCTAAAACAACTGGACACAACTCATTTTAGCAAACACTGCTCAAATAAAAATAAAAAGCACATTTACGGTGGACTTTCAGGGACTTGATGAGCCAAAATAAACTGTAGTGTCCGTGTTAATGTTAATGAACATGCCCCCGGTGCAACTGTGTGACTCACTAATGTGTTTTTTATAGTGTTTGGACAACAGCCGAGGTCTACGGCACAGAGGAAGAAGTTATAGGGAGTAATTAGTTGTCACTATTTTCAAAAAAATAGAAAAAAATTCTCATAACAACTCTGCCATCACTTTCCTTGATGTGTTATGTGCCAGTTTTGTTGACAACCCCTCCTGCTCTGCTTGTGCAATTTGCATATCTGATCACAATGCAGACAGAATCAAGTTAATGAGAACGCTTATTCACACCACGTATAAACACAAAAGCTCAAGTAACGTATCCAAATACAGACTGCTGGTTAATAGCAGATGCAAATGGAGTCATGGACGATGTTATATGAAGAAGAAACACAGCAGAATGACTGATGCTAATCAGAGAAGCTTTACACATTTTTTTCCTGTGTGTGTCTGTTTATTTTTTTGCTGTACCTTCATGGACAGACTTTCTTGTGTTTTGTGGTTCTGTAAGCGTGCGTGTAGAGAGTGTTGCTCTTGAACTGCCTGCATACTATTAGAAATGTCAAGTGATTTTGCACAGTTGTAATGATGTTACCCTCATGGAAGCTTATCCTCTGGTCAGCCTCACTCACAAAGTGTTCCCTCGACACACGCACCACCTTGGGGAGGTCAAAGATCGTCACAGTGCATTCTGGGTAGGCTGACGTGCACTGCTTAGCTAATGCTCCACTGCAGCCTGCAGAGAGAGAGAGAAAGGTAGAGAGAGGGTTAGTTACTGCACAGTGAATGCACCTTTATTAACAAGGTAGTGAATCACTGGCACACATACTGGACACAACACACAGTGGAAAACATGTTTTTAGGTATAAACCAATTATTTATTTGTATGATTCGTGTTCAGTCGTTTGTGGCGGCTTTGGGAAGATGCTTCATCTAACATTCATGTCAATAAAGTAGAGCAAATTGAACTGAATGTAGAGCGACAGACTGACGCTTTATATAGAATCAGACTGCAGAGCTGCTGTCTTGGAGTCCAGCTAAAGAGTCTAATCTGTGGAAAAAACACACAAACAAACACACACATAATTCCATTTGATTGTTATCTGGCTAAATCTGATTTTCCATACATTGGGATATTTCCCTTCATGCTGTCACGCATCTGAAAGGATCCTTGATTTTAGCCCTGCTAGAAGTGTGGCTCTGGGGGACGGCGATCTGTCGGCGGATCCGCAGGGAAATATCTCAGCAGCTATTAAATGGATTGTTATGAAATTTTATATTGTATTATATCCAGTATATGATGTGCCACGAGCATCATCGTTCTGATGTCTTTGAGAGTCACAGGCAGCTCAAAGCCTTCACTTATTTAGTGAAACATCTTAGCAAATACTCTATTGTTGGCATAAAATTTGGTCTAGATGATGTTTTGTTAAGACTTTGGTGATACTCTGTCTTTTCCTGCGGTGCTTAATGTGGTGAAAATGTTTTGTTTTATGCTTTTGCTGACGGCACAAAAACTGCATAATTAATAACATGCTAGTCAGCTGCAGGTGAATTTTTAACTAAGCACAGATTAGAATAAAAAAAAAAAAGCACCCAGAAATAAATATAAAATTCAAACTATTTTATGAAGGTGAACATGCAAACATTGCAACTGCCAAACACGAGACTGTGAACATTTCCTCGTGCATTTCAGCATTTCATTCTCACAGCCATTTGCACGGAAGTTGCATTGTGGGAACTTGTACAGTAGCTCTGCTTTCTTTTCCTCGTTGAGAGAAATCGAACTCTGTGCAGGGCCGAGGCCAGACCTGATGATCTGACTGGAAAATTAGGCACAACACACACACACACACACACGCACACACACACACAAACGAGGGCGGAAACAGGGATTTAATGCGAAAATATGAATCTTTCAACTTGATGCTTTGGCAGCATTATTATCTTCTTTCATGCTCCATAAAGCAAACTGAATTTAAAACAGAGAGAATGAAAGAGAACGTGACAGTGATAGAGAGAAAACGAGATAGACGGCGAGGAAGAGTGAGAAAGATGCAGAATATATGAATGGGACGGAGCGAGGCAGCGAAGCAGAATACAGGATCAAAGGATCTCACTCTGACAGACCTACAAAGCCCGTCAGACTTGGACTGGTGTGTGTGTGTGTGTGTGTGTGTGTGTGTGTGTGCATACAGGCCAAGCTGTCTAGCCCTGTGGTGCCTTCCTCCTAACATGACTTACTGCTACTATACCAGTGTGTATTTTTACAAAGTTTTCTCTTTTTCATGCACACACACACACACACACACACACACACACACACACACACACACACGTACGAACTCATACCTGGGTCACACACACACACAGAGACGCTGCTTGGTGCTCACATCAAACAGGGGTCAGCAGAGGAGAAAAATCAAAGCGCAACAAGGAGGAGGAAAAGCAAACACAACACACTGTTGGAGACCCGGAGCTGAACTGTGCCGCCTCACTTTGTTAATGAAATCCTTTGATGGGAGGTTTGTGATTGTTCAGAGCGATGTCATTGTTCTGTTTTACTGTTTTTTTTTTAGTTTTCTCTCCATTTAATTTGCTTACATGATATCTAATATTTGTCCGCTTGTGCAACCATTTAATTAAAGAAATGTAATCATAATGTTGAAAATGTTCTTTCTTGGTTCCTGAAAACGTCTCATCTCTTATTGAAAAGGCCTCTTGGATGTGACTTCAGAACTGCAGCTGCCTTCTGCTGAAGTTCTTAGGATTACACGACCTGGATGACTCAGAATCTACACAGCTTTACCTACATATGGGTACGTACAGAGCACCGCACACAATCTGAGTCCATTAGAGTCACGCTTGTGTAGCTGCTCCATCGGTATTGTGTCAGCAGCTGGATTCCGGCGACTGCAGCTGCATCCAAACCTGTTCGAGGAGGAAGCACCGAAGGGGACCTCTGCCTGATTGTACACATCCACACTCTCACGATGGGGAGCGCTGCTAAGCCCGTGAAAACGGCTGAGTGATGCTTCTGCTGCTCTGGAGGGTCTTTCGAAAGTCTGAGAAAACAACCCCGATTGTTGTCATCAGCTTCAGCTCATAAACTACCATTTTTTAACAGAGAGCCGGCGTCGCACACTGCGGGTAATGGAGTTCAAAAGACTCTAATGCCTACTGCGGGGAAGAGAATGAAACACGCCACTGAGACGCATCATGACAAGCGGGATCTCCACTGTGCAAAGAGCTGCATCCATACAGGGGATAATGGACGGGATATATTGGCCTTATGCTGCATATATTTCTACCGTTTATCTGTCTTTTGGTGGTTTCCAAGTCTAATGGAGTGTTAAACTAATTTAGTTCCACTTTTAAGGCACAAACACTGGTTTGAATGTGAATTATTGTACTTGCACACAAAACAAATTTAATCTGCGCTCACTGTCAAACTGAGTTCATAACAAAAGGTGTTTCAACGCTAGTCAGCAAACTAAACCTCACACTGGGTCAAAATGTTGCTCAAAAAGAAATAAAAGGCACATTTAGGGAGTTTACGAGTTTGAACCACAATAAACGACGGCGCCCGTGTTAATGTTCATGAACGTGCCCCCGGTGCAACGGTGTGACTCACTAATGTGTCTTTTATAGTGTTTGGACAACAGCCGAGGTCTGCGGCACAGAGGAAGAAGTTAAAGGGAGTAATTAGTTGTCATTTTGAACAAAAAAAGAAATCCTCATGACAGCTCTGCCGTCACTTTCCTTCATGTGTTATGTGCCAGTTTTGTTGCTCTGCTCAGACACAGAGTTACTGGAGTTACTGACGCTATGATATGAGAAGTTCTCTGCTACGAGATTCATTTACATGTGTTTGAACACAGATTATAGAGAGGTGACAAATGATTGATTGATGTATAAAATAAATAGAAATAAACTTGAATGCATAAACAACAACAGGTTCTCTGTTTTTTTCACATTTTAAAAAGATGGAGCAACATGAAAATGGCTGTTTACACTAAAAACATCCTGCTTCAGAAACCATTTATATAATATCTTTAGAGTTGTTGTAACCTTTGAGAATATTATTTATTTCTAAACAAAACATAGCATTGAAATGTGTGTTAAATGTCACATTAAAATAAATCTGAATAAAACTAAGCACAGGGCTTTCCATCAGCAGCCATATGCACACATAGAAGATTACATCGTGTTATGATGAAAAAAAATATGACATACATACAAACAGTCCACAATCTCCCATAGGTGTTCAACTGGGTTGGGATGCGGTGCGTTTAAAGGTCTCAGCATATGATTCACATCATTTCACAGACATCAAACCGTTCGCTGACCGCTCACGCTCTACGGATGGACGGCCTTGTCATCCTGGAGGAGACCACTCCCCCATCAGGACAGGAATGTTTCATCTTAGGATAAAGGTGACCACTCGGAACAAACGTGTACTACTTCACACCGACCCTCCCCTCTAAATGGGTCTAGTGGACCCAGAATCATGCCAGCATAAGCCCCCCACAGCAGAGCAGAGATAACAGAGCCACTGATCCACTCACTGTGGGTGTCAATGGTTCAGGTACTTTCTATAATTCGTCACCTGTCTTCATGTGTACTGTATATCACAGAGTTTGGGGATGTGCACACAGGCTGGCTGATGCCTGATGTGGATTAAAATCCAAATCAGCTAGTTGGCAGAGAGTTAGACAGACAAAGAGACAGATAGAGTTTCTGAGCAGCAGGTGTGCACAGACAGAACAGCTGCTGCGTGAGTCTACATGGGACGCTGCAGTCATGCCCTTCAGACTCCTGCTGTCCACGTGCACACACTTTTAGGTGATGCGGCTTCATGCATAAGCATGAACATAAAACCTCATGCTGAGAAAGTCACAGGAGGCGTGCACTGTGTGAGTGTGTGTGTGTGTGACAGAAAGATGTGAAGCGAGTGCGTTTAGTGGCTTCACAGCTCCCCTGTGTGGTCAGCAGAGGTGTCACACAAACAGGTGACAACCTGTAGGTGTCAGACGGTTGAGCTACATCGAGCTGCTTATTGTTTCTCAGACTGACGTAGTTCAAAGGAGATGTTATAGTTCATTTATCCTTAAAGCAGAGCCAAAGGAAGGATGTCTGTTAATGCAGTCCAGCTGCTGATAGCAGAGATATATTTATACTTGATCAAATATATGTATTTCATATAGTTATGGTGCTATACGTTATTTGGCTTTTTAGTCATTTTAATGTTGAACTGAAACACATTCAGTTCAGGTTAGTGTGTGTTTTTATCCATGTATCTGAATATCTAACCTGGTTTGCAGGATGGATTCTCCCAACATTTATAATGGACTTTCATGGATAATATTTTAGAACATTTAATTTTACTCATCACTGATTATAGACTTGTGCCTACATGATGGTCCATTATCTACGACTTCTGACTGATTGCTGGTACATGAGTGGAGACAAAGTTCTGCTCTTAATTCAGTCTGAAATACAAAATGAGACAAAGTGAAAAAGAACCGGCACAATATCTCTGACATCTCTTACTTGCATTGGGCGTTTTCAGCAGTAGATGAAAACTCTAACAACAACATACGATTCCATCTTTTTGTTTTCTTCTTTACTTTTCTTTCTCTTTCTATTCTGCTCCACTGTTGGTTTGTCTCTCTGTTTTTCTTTAGTGGCTCTGTCTTATCGTTGTGCAGTTCATCTTGTGTCTGCTCAGTCTCCTCTCTCCTCACGTTTTAATCATTGTGCCATTTGCAGGCCGTGTAAAGCATTTTGTCAGGAACCTGCTCTGCAAAGACGCTTTATAAATAAATCTGACTTGACAAAGCAGCAGAGAACAGTGAAGAGAGCTGCCTTTTTACCTTTAACTACCCAACGAAGACAGACTCGGGTGAGTGCAACATCTTGTTTCACATTCATATATTTTACAGTTTTCAGTTCAACCAGTCGTTGAACAAAAGCTGGAGTGAAATGTCTGGCCTTGTATTCACATTTCTTCTTGCCAAAATCTGGTGACAGGTCTATAAAATCATGCTCAGGCTTTGTAAGAATCAGATAAAACAATGAGAAATACATACTAGATACAGATTAATGTCACGTACTGCAGTAGTTGAAGAGTTAAACAGACCGTTGTGGCAGACCTTGGTGGTCAACCTGCTGCACTAACTCAGCTCAGATGTGTATAACAACAGCTTTCTCTGTTAGCTTTTAAACAAATGCACGAGCAAAATGCATTGATAGACAGATATACACGTCAAAACTGGCCAACAATGATTCAAATAAGAGCTGCAGCGTATATTACTATCAGACAGTTGGATTTTTATCCTTTCTGCCACATGAAAGAAAACATCTGTGTCTGGAGACTTTGACAGATGTTTGTTATTTTAGTGTTTGAAACATTGGCCTTAAGAAATGTGTCCTCTCGCAGTGCATTGAACATTTGTAATGTAAAAGGAAGCCACAAATGGAGAGAAAAATTCTGCATGAAATCTTATTGTTCAGTGTCAATTGTCTTGTCGAGGCCAGAAGAGCCACAAAAACGGGATTTACGGTACAACCCTGTGAAAAATAAATCTAAGTGAGACCTATTACTGGCTCATGGTCGCAAGTGATCCACTGCACTCACTTAGGAACTATGAGGCTGTGCTTCACTGTGCAAACAACATACGAAAACAGCCGCATAAAGAGTCCTGAACAAAAATATATGCATCATCATCTTGAAAATCAGTCTGAATAATCTAATAAATGATCTTGGGAGCACAGTGTGCAGACTGCATTTTTCTAAATGACGTCGAGCGTCATGCACTAAAACATTTTGGATCAATTTGGTGACCACATGAAACTCTGGCAGAATAACAAGAGAAACTCAGGGTCAAGGTGAGTAAGAGCTGTGTGTGTGTCGCTGAGGTTGACTAATTTACTTAAAGCCATTAACTGAGGGAAGCTGATGGGAGCTAATAAAGGTCACAGTTGACTGTGTGTGTTGTGAATTTTTGTGCGCACGCACCGTACTGTATGTTAATGTGTGTGTGGCTGAGCCAGCTGCCGCTCGGTTAACATATGACAAATGTTAATGACTCTGAACTCACAGCCTTATGGAAATGAGACACAGCGACTCTATGAACACGCACACACTCGCTCACAAAACTCACCTCCAAGGTCGCAGATGACCTTAAAAGGCGAAAGGTCGAAGGCCGTGACCACGTCTTTACCACAGATGTTCCAGATGGAGTTCATTAAGTGCATAAACTTCACCATTTCCTCGTCCGACCTGCAAAGACAGAAACAGTCATTTTCATTACTGTCTCTCTTTCATCAACGTCTCCCTCTGCATTGAAGCAGAAGTCTCTTTATCATTTCCTGTAAGCTGTCACCTGAGGGGCTACTTGCAAAAAGACACACACACACATCCACACAGAGAGCCTGTCCTCATATCAGAGTTTCTCCCCGTGGCGACAACGTGGTGTGTGTGTGTGTGTGTGTGTGTGTATGTGTGTGTGTGTGTGTGTGTGCGACAGACAGGGTGAGGAAGAATAGAAGAGCCTGTGGTGACTGCTGCTGCTCTGAGGAATCTCCACCTCATCACCCAGCACTCGGCCGTGCTGCCATCCGGGGACACGCACACAAACACACACATTGTCAATTTTGTAAGAATTGCATTTGTCCAAACTTCACTGCGGCGACGCGATCAGCCCATCCGATACACAAAGCAACTTCAGACGACACGGCGACCTCCAGCAGAACTTTGAAAGTGACTCATTGTTGGCTTCAGACTCTGACTGCATCGGATGTGAAAAGATGAAATGACTGTGAGGCCAAACAGCACAATGTCAGCTTTAATTTGAAAGCGTTTTGGGCATAAGATATTGAACGCCCTCTAACAACAACATATTCAGTCCCTTTTCTCCATGACAGAGTACATTTACTTGCACACGATCTCATCCTGTCTCCAGTGGATGAGGAGGAAAAGGTGTTTAGCCTGGCTACCCCCTGTCCTTGTGTACGTCATTAGAGCTTGTGGTTTGTGATGTGTCTGCCCTCTGCACAGACATGTCTCGTATCCTTAGCATCCCCGCAGGTCTCTGTCATCTCTGTATTTACTGTTATAGTCACCGGCTGTGTTGTTGTTTTGGTCTCTCCGTCTTACGAGCAGCAACAGAAGAAACGACCTGACATGTTTAAAGCGTGATCCCCGTGCAGCCCTGACAGCATGTTGATATTTACATTATTCATCAATGCCACGTTATTTCGGTTGTTACTAGACGTTCCTGTGCAGACGGCTGATAGCAGCCGATGTGCCCCGATTTTCTACTAGACCCAGTTCCGACTAGATTTTTTAATATGCATGTCTCCACGCGGCGGCTGCAGCGACAACGTTAACTATATTCAAAGATGCAAATATTCAAAGTGAAATTGCTTTAATTTTGAAAAAGCAAAGCCCGCAGGATAAAAAACCTAATTGCAGACACTTGAGACACATTCAGAAACTTCTTTCAGAATACAAAATGTGGTATTAAATCTTCATTTGAAATTGTTGTGTGTTTGTAGAACGGTTATACTGACTGGTAAAGTGAAAAACACTGAATATTAAACTATAACGCTGCGCTGGGAAACCTTGGCATTCATATAAATTTTACAGCAGGCCAAGATCACTCCCCAAGCAGCTCGACTATACCCCCAAAGTTACTCAGAGGCGGTTCGAGGAACACAACAAAGAGCCCAAAGTGTTGACAGAACTCCTCAGAGCTCAGTCCGATTCTCATTTGTGCCTGCAAGATTAGGCATGTGGTTTTAATATTATGGCCAATCAATGTATGTGTTCATTTCAGCTGTCACTGGAGTCCACTACTACTGCTGTAATCCATTACAGTTCTAACTTTTCATGCTGTAAAAACAGTAGCTTCATTAGTTTCCTCTACAAGCAACAAAGCTACTCTCTGATTGATTTTTGTCAGCGCATGCTTGTATCATCAAAATATACTAACCACTTAGAGAATTTATTATTAGCAGCAGCTTGTGTATAATTTACAATAATTTAAAAAATTGAACAAAAGCTTTCTGTCACCAGGAAATGCTCTTTACAAGTTCAAACATGCACTGAGCCTCATAACTGGCAAACAAGCATCCATTCAAATGTCCTGCAATAGTCTTTAATTAAACTTAAATGCATAACATTTAATATCATCCCATTAGGCAGTCAACAGCCCACATTGTTCACACAGTGTGTTAGCATTTGTATTCCCTGTTCCAACATTCATTCCTCCCAATTAATTTTATGCAGCTTCACAGTGCCGTACAGTAAGCACACCTGTTTAACTCCTAATGCCATCACTTCTAGATGTTTGCCGAGAGAACACGTCTTTGAAAGGACAGATTTAGCTGGAACGTGTGAACACTTAACCTAATAAAGGCAAAATGACTATAAGTAACAGATAAACAGCCGTCTTTATGTTAAAATGCCTCACTATGCAACAACATGTGCGCTTGAAATCTCTAAAATATCTCTGAATCCACTCTCTCTCGTCACTTTTCTCTCCGTATTCTTTCTGCTTTCTCGAGTTCAAGAATTCAGGCTGCAGACGGGTCTTGGCTGTAAATTATTCAGGTGCAGTACATGACTGGTTAAATGGCGATGAGTAAACAGGAGTCTGACTCATCCAGCCGGCTCTGAATTACCCTGCTCCTGCTGCAGAGCACCAAGAATGCAGTGAATGACTTCAGTGGTTGTTTCCCCTTGCTAATTTACCCACAGTAAGTATTCACAGGGGAAATCAGCAGCGACAAACAACTGCTCCTCCACATTAAGTCAATTGTGCGCAGGTGCTGAATTTTTTTTTCTTGCTGGGTATTTTCGTTTTCAATCAATTCAAGCCGAACTGCAAATTTGTCTGCACAAAGGTTTATTACATTATGCGTGCATGGATCATATTTGGAATATTCTCATTTTGCATGCCTCTTCTTTTAATGAGGCGCTCTGTTATGTCATCAGCTGCTTTTTCTAAAGGATATGAGGGGAAAAAATGAGTTGAAACTGCAAGTACAGAAAGACAGTCATTTATTCACAAACCAAAAAAAAAAAAAACCCACCAACATAAATATATATTGCTTGATATCTGTAATTCTATTGCTGTAAAAAATGCACAGTACAAGCTGGAGACTCTCTGCAAACAATATATCAAACACAGTATTTTATATTTAAGCTGCAGTGGCGTGTGCTCAGATGTATTACGCTGAAGATGGGCTACTTTATATGCACATCTTTACTTTTTCATTTCATTGTTCAGATGTAAGATAATAAAAACGCATCTTCAATCAAAGACAGTCGGATGTTTTCGCAAGTTATTCCGCTGTGTGGATGTTTTCTGGTCCTCTGGGTCTGGCGGTGTTCTACAGTTCAGGGCCTCAGGCAGCCTGATCAAAATCTATTAGCACACAAAGTGTGAATTTTTGAGTGTGTGACCCCTGAAAACTGCTGACCAGCAGATCAGTGAAGCGTTAAAACTGTGGGCACTGGATACTATAAACACACCAGACCTCAAGGACAATGGCAGATGTATTCTCTCTTTCTCTCTCTTTCTGCCTGAAGCTTCCTCACATCACTGCCCACACACCCTCTCACCCTCTCACCCTCTCCCTCTCGCTGTCTGTATGTGTCTCCCTCCCTCCCTCACACATTCTCTGCCTTCTAATGAATCCCACAAGTCTGTTTTTCTTTTTTTTTTTAAGAGGGAAGAGAGAAAAGTGACAGACAGGCTTAAGATGGAGAGACAGGGATGAATGTAAATGAGGAAGAACATGCGTTTCAGTGTGTGTGCATGTGTGTGTGCATGTATGTGTGTGTGTATGCATGTGTGTGTGTGTGTGTGTGTGTGTGTGTGTGTGTGTGTGTGTGCATGTGTGTGTGCTTCCTACCTGTAGAGAGCTTGAAACAGGTCTTGAGAGCTGACTCCAAAAGCCTTTTCATACTGGTTTTTCCCCTCTCTGTTACAAAACAAAGGCAGAAACATTCATACATGACAGACGTATCATACACGTGACTTCTTCTCTGGTGATATTTTACGTTGGCACATATTTGATATGCGAGCGCACAAAATACGGGATTAATGAGCGCGTCGCTGCCTAACATCTGCTTCAGCTTCCGCTCAATGTCACAGACGAAATCAATATGACTTCAAGATCAGTCATCGCATGAAAGAATGAGTCATTTCGATCAAGGTGCCTTTAGATATCATCTCTGTCGGTTTCAGTGTTTCTCACAGATGGACTTCACTCGTCAGCCACAATAAATCCAGTCACGCTGTCTGGGAGCTGCTGGCTGTCCTCCCTCTGACATAACAATGAGACTAAAATCCATCTGAGACAATGTTCAAACAGAAAAAGGAGGACCCAAATCCACATTCTTAGGGCTCCAAAAATCAAACCTGCAGTTCTCACAGCCCGTCCCAGCCCACCTGTGTACGATTTCACTCTATTTTCACTCTCTCTCATGCTCTCAAACAAAACAATCTTTAACTCTCATAAGGCATGCCCTTGGATATCACAGCAAAAAAAAATGTTCTGCACTTTAACAAGAGGGGGCAAGGGCAGCTCAGGTTTGGTGGACGCTAATTTCTCAGACTTAAAAGTTTGGAAAGTCATCAATTGTTTGATTATTAAAACTATATCCTGGTTTCATTCTCAAATCTATTTTCTTTTTAGGCGTGTTTATATATTTTTAAAAACTGGGCCCGGTTTTAGCCTGTTGTATTAATTCGGGCTCAGAGAAGTAATAAGTGCACAGCTTTGACAGCGGGTAGCCCAGAGGTTAGTGAAATAGATTAGCAATCAGAAAGTTGCCACTTCAAGACCACTTCTTGTTAAGTGTGCCAATGCATAAGCTATGAAGCACACTTATTGCTATTCCTCGGGCTTATTCCCATTATTGAGTCTTCTGACACTATTTTTGGCGCTTAACTCGTCCCACAGCTTTGTGAAAACTCATACAAATTATATAGCAAATCATACTTTTATGAAATTGGTAGAAAAAAAACCCCAAAGAAAACCTATATTAAAAATCCCCATTGAAATGAATGGGAAGTTGGCCAGACAACTTCCAAAACCCAGCCATGTTTGTAGCCCTGCAGCTCTGGCATATTTTACAGTAGAAACTTCATTCTAAGTGTAAATGGCTCACAAGGCTTTCAGTGTTATACATCTAAATTTGTGTTTTGATGTCATTTACGGTGGTTACGCAGTCGCAGTGAAAGTTTTGCAGATATTTGTCGGATTTGTTGTTCAGCTAGAATTTGTGTGTGTTTTTTTTTTTTTAGAAAATCCCCTCAGAGCACAGAGAGTGCCAACCACAGCTCTCATTCACTCCCATTAAATCTGACATTCTGGGTGAAAATCAGAAACACTAGGTCACTCTAACCTGCCACCAAATCTATATAATACACAGAACATGCATGAAAACACACCAGTTTGTTCAAAACGAGACTGTGCTTTTCCCGCTGCGACAAGTCAAAATGTTTTCTGTGATGGATCTGAAATCCTAACTTTTCACCAAATGATC